CCTGCGAGCCGGCAGGGGGGGCCGGCCCCAGCCCCGCCGGCTACGGCGGGGAACCGCAGCCCCCGCCAGCAGCCCTATGGATCCCGCTGCCCTATAGATCCAGTGACCCATATATCCAGCAACTTGCATATTCAGCAGTCTTATGTATCTAACGACCCTACGTATCCAGCAACCCTATATAATCAGCAACCTATATATCCAGCAATCTTATATATTCAACAACCCTATATATCTAGCAGCCCTATATATTCAACTCTATATATCCAGCCACCCTATATACCTAGAAATCTTACATATTCAACAACCCTATATATCCAGCAGCCCTATATTTCCAGCAACCCTATATAGCCTGCAATCTTATATATTCAACAGCCCTATATATCCAGCAGCCCTATATAGCCTGCAATCTTATATATTCAACAGCCCTATATGTCCAGCAGCCCTATATAGCCTGCAATCTTAAATATTCAACAGCCCTGTATAGCCAGTAACCTTACATATTCAAAAGCCCTGTATATCCAGCAGCCCTATATGATCAATCTTATACATCCAGCAGCCCCATACATCCAGCAGCCCTATATAATCAGCAATCTTATACATCCAGCAACCTGCATATCCAGTAACCCTATATATATCCAGCCACATGTTACATCCAGAAACTTATATATTCTGCAATCCCATATATCCAGCAACCCTAAATACCCAAGTCTTATATACCCAGCAACCCTATATATTCAGACCTATACATCCAACAACCGTATATAGCCAGCAGTCTATATATCCTACATAATCAGCAATCTTATACATCCAGCAGCCTTATATACCCAGTAACCCTATATATCAAGCAACTCATTAAATGCAGGAACTTACATATTCTACAATCCCATATATCCAGCGACCTATACATCCAACAACCCTATATACCCTGTCTATATATCCTGTAGTCTATATATCTATATTTCAAATTATTACTTTCAACCTGCCCGGCTGAGCTGTAAGAAAAATGAACTAAACCTTCCCCAACGCCAACAGGGGAACAGGTTTTACAGCCCTCGTCCTCCAAAAACACCCACTCACCCCAAAAATTCCCCCATATAAATATTTTGGGGGTTTCTTAAACCCCTTGGCAGGAGCCAAAGGGCTCTGCTGCAGAGAACGGAGCAACTCACTGCACGCAAAGCAGCTTGGAAGACGCCGCTTGGTGTCGTCCCGCTGAAAAAAAAAAAAAACCACTCAATTTTATTAAAAGCGCAAAATTTGGGAGCTGGAGGAAAACGGGGAAAGGCTGGACCACACCGGCTGGGATGCCGAGCCCTTCCCAGTGACATCTGAGTGGTGGAGGGGGGGGTGACACCCCGCCGTGTGCCGGGGCTGCGGCGAGGGCACGGCGGGGTGTTTGGGAGGTCAGCGGGTGCCGGTGCCAGGCAGCGGCACGGGCCGGCCAAGAGGCAGGAGGCAGTTTGGCTGCCGGCCTCACGCCGCGCCGGTGGAGCCCGGCCAGCCCCGGCACTCGGCTTGTGGTTTTCCTCCTCTGGCAACAACCCCGGGGGATCCTCCGCCGGGACGGTGGGGTGGGGGGCACCAGCGGGGGGAAACCCTGAGCATCCTCGACTGCGCGAGACCCTACAATAAACAAACCGCCCTGTCAGTGCCACCGAAGGGCTTTGCCGGGGAAGGAGATGCTGCCAAATTCACACACGTGCACCCCCGCCCCAGGGATTGATGCTCCTGGGGGGCACCACCTCGCCGGACCCCAAGAGATGGAAAAAACCCACCCTCCCAGCCCCAAACCACCACCACCAGCACCGGGTACCAGCAGGGGGGATGCCGGAGAGGAGCCCAATGGCACGGATGCCCTAAATCCATGCTCGACGCCCCCAAAAATGGGAAATAAAGGAAATTTGGGAAACTCGAGTGCCAAGCCGGACCCACGATAGCCCCCGACTACCCCCTGGGGTACCCACCGCGCCGGCTCATGGCCCCGCTGCCTCCCGGCGCCGCAGGCGGACGCGGCTTCCTCTCCCGCCTTGTTTTCCAAGCTGTTTCCATGGCCCCAGCTGACCCCGGCGCTGGGTCTGAGCTGCTCGCTCCTGTCCTCATTTAGCCCGGAGAAAAGCCGGAATAGCGTCGGTGCCGAGGGAGCAGAACTGATTTACGCCACGGGAAGCCCAGCTCTGCTTTACACCAGCCCCAGGAGCAATTTCGGGGACCCCCATAGCCGTAACCCCTCCCCAGACAGCGCTGGGGCAATTATCTCACCCCTTTTTCCTTCTCACTGGGGTACAACGAACCAGTCAAACGCGATATAGGACCCTGCACCGGCTTCTACACCGGCATCCCAGCAATGCCGGGAGCTTCCGAGGGAGATGGCGGATTTTTTTCCAGGTGGAAAAAAATCTGTTCCCATCTCCATCCTCCTCATCTCCTTTAGGAAAAAGGTTTTCTCTTTTGGAGGGGCCGCAGCAGGGATGATCCAGACAGGAACACTCGGGGAAGAGATGTTCAAAGGTGGGGATGCTCGGGGCGAGGATGCTTGGGATTGCTTGGGGAAGGGATGTTCGGAGCAGGGATGCCTGGGGAAGGGATGTTCGGAGCAGGGATGCTTGGAGTCGGGATGTTTGGTGCAGGGATGTTTGAAGCAGGGATGTTCGGAGTAGGGATGCTTGGGGAAGGGATGTTCGGAGCAGGGATGCTTGGGGAAGGGATGTTCGGAGCAGGGATGCCTGGGGAAGGGATGTTCGGAGCAGGGATGCTTGGGGAAGGGATGTTCGGAGCAGGGATGGTGAGTCAGGATGTTCAGAGCAGGGATGCTCGGGGAAGGGATGTTAGGAGCAGGGATGTTCAGGGTCGGGAGGCTCGGAGCAGGGATCCTCGGGGTTGGGACATTCGGAGCAGCGATGCTCGGGGAAGGGATGCTCGAGGAAGGGACGTTCGGAGAAGGGATGCTCAGCACCAGGGCCGGGCGAGCAATGCCCCAGCGGATGCTCCCCTCTGGAGCAGCTTTTGGGAAGCAAGCTAAAATATCAGCTACTTTATAGCAAAGAACATGTTCCTACGTGTTACCGAGTAATTTTTGACTACTGAAGCCACCAAGTCATTCCTGTCCTACTGTTATGTTTCTCCCTGCTTCTTACTAGCATCCCTGTTTTTGCCACATAAAACAACAGTGGCCTGATGCCACTGCAATGTAAAATACAGACAATGAAAAATACTACAGCA